ATGACTTATTCTTCTCTTCAGAATTTAATGATTTATTCTTCTCTATAGAATTAAATAGACTTGTTCTTCTCTATAGAATTAAATGACTTGTTCTTCTCCATAGAATTTAATGACTTATTCTTCTCTATAGAATTAAATGATTTGTTCTTCTCTATAGAATTAAATGACTTGTTCTTCTCTATAGAATTAAATGATTTATTCTCTATAGAATTTAATGACTTATTCTTCTCTTCAGAATTTAATGATTTATTCTTCTCTATAGAATTAAATAGACTTGTTCTTCTCTATAGAATTAAATGACTTGTTCTTCTCCATAGAATTTAATGACTTATTCTTCTCTATAGAATTAAATGATTTGTTCTTCTCTATAGAATTAAATGACTTGTTCTTCTCTATAGAATTAAATGATTTATTCTCTATAGAATTTAATGATTTATTCTTCTCTATAGAATTAAATGATTTGTTCTTCTCCATAGAATTTAATGACTTATTCTTCTCTATAGAATTAAATGATTTGTTCTTATCTATAGAATTAAATGACTTGTTCTTCTCCATAGAATTTAATGATTTATTCTTTTCAATAGAATTTAATGACTTATTCTTCTCTATAGAATTTAATGATTTATTCTTTTCAATAGAATTTAATGACTTATTCTTCTCTTTAGAATTTAATGATTTATTCTTTTCTATAGAATTTAATGACTTATTCTTCTCTTTAGAATTTAATGATTTATTCTTTTCTATAGAATTAAATGACTTGTTCTTCTCCATAGAATTTAATGATTTATTCTTTTCAATAGAATTTAATGACTTATTCTTCTCTATAGAATTTAATGATTTATTCTTTTCAATAGAATTTAATGACTTATTCTTCTCTTTAGAATTTAATGATTTATTCTTTTCTATAGAATTTAATGACTTATTCTTCTCTATAGAATTAAATGATTTGTTCTTCTCTATAGAATTTAATGATTTTTTCTTCTCTATAGAATTAAATCGACTTATTCTTCTCTATAAAATTCAACGACTAAGACTTCTCTATAGAGTACTGCCTGGAATATTAATAAATTTGAGATTTGGCACAACTCTTATTTTTTTCAGCAGTTTATTATAAATTGTAACTTGAAAACACCTATAGGTTGCAAAAAAACAATTAATTTCCCCATAGACGACAATAGTAGTCTTTTTTCTAGATACAGACTAATTTAGAAAGTTGATTTTTTTAAACAGAAACCTTGCTAGAATTAAAGAAAAATTATTAGGACAGTATTTTTTAGTCCAAAAAATATAGGTTCCCGTCGCTTTTCTTAACATAATTTCTACTTATCTCCCTTGACTATCAATTTTGCACTCAAAAACATGTGTCTCATCACAGCGTACTTCTCTATTCCGTTAGGGCCAAGGAAAATATATTATTTTGCTGTATAATGCAGAGTGCATGAAGTGTCTTGTGATAAAACATACCGGCTGCACACATCGACCAATCAGAATTAGCCATAGTTTTAATTAATACCATGTTATCTTCATAAAATGGCTGCACCCATAAAATTTAATAGTTGATTGTAACCTATAACATACCTATACTACTAGAATAATGAGGTCCAATTTGTTAGCCGGCATGACGTAAAAACGATGAATAAAAGATTTCAACTTTATATATTACTAATATAGGACAATGGTGTTCATTTAGAATTACACCATCCAAGGCCCTTTTGTTTTCAACATTTTTAATATTACCAATAATTAACAAGTCCTGCGTCGAATCTGATACCGATACCAATAAAATTGAGAATGGAAATGGGGAATGTGTCAAAGAGACAACAACCCGACCATAGAGCAGACAACAGCCAAAGGCCACCAATGGGTCTTCAATGCAGCGAGAAACTCCCGCACCCGAAGGCGTCCTTCATCTGGCCCCTAAACAAATATGTATACTAGTTCAGTGATAATGGACGTCATACTAAACTCCAAATTATACACAGGAAACTAAAATTAAAAATGATACAAGACTAACAAAGGCCAGAGGCTCCTGACTTGGGACTGGCGCAAAAATGCGGCGGGGTTAAACATGTTTTTTGAGATCTCAACCCTCCCCCTATACCTCTAGCCAATGTAGAAAAACAATCGCACAACAGTTTGTACAGTAAAACTCAGTATAAGAGAAGTCAGAGTCCGATGTCAGAATAGGAAACAAAAGAAAATAAACAAAATGACAATAATACATAAATAACAACATAAATGACTACTAGCAGTTACTGACATGCCAGCTCCAGACCTCAATTAAACTGATTAAAAGATTATGTCTTCATCATATGAATATCAGGCACAATCCCTCCTGTTTGGGGTTTAGTATTATACCGTCATCAAATATATGAGAAGAACATAACCCGTGTCATGCCAACAACTGGTTTTAGAATAAATGTGTTTAATTCTGATGCAAAGACCCTATAAGTGAATTAATATTAAAGTCAAAATATGCAATCTTTAATGACCTGACAGCAGTATCGTAACTATATCCCTTCTTAATAAGTCTGTTTAAAGGTTTTGTTAGCTTTTGAGGTGAATACTGACATTTTTGTGCTTTGTAAAGAATATTACCATAAAAGATTAGATGTGAAATACCCGAACGTATAAGATATCTATAGTATAAGTCACATGTATAGTATAAGTCACATGTAGTTTCCGGTTGTAGTAAAAAAACCAGGATGTTCAAACAGAAAAAAATTGACAGCAGAGAAAACTTTGCACTTTATAAACATGATAAACAGCATAACTTTATCAGATGACAATACGAATACTAAAAATCCTGGCTAAAAATAAGGTGTAGGTACTTTAATTCAGTTGAGACCCCGCGATGTTGCGGGTGTGTTCTGATATACTTTATAATTGTCAAAAGTATTTAGTTTTATAAGAATTTTAATTAAAAAATATATGATCGTGTAATATGCATAAAGAAAAATTTCAAATAATGATTAGTTAGGGATATTTGTGATAAAATGATAATATTGTGAACAATATAAAAAAAAAGTTCTTTATTTTAATGAATATTAGTGTGTTGTTGAAATACCAACTTTCTATAGTTATATATTTATCTAAGAATGTACATGATATATTTATCTAAGGATGTACATGAAGATTTGTATAAACTTTGATGTAAATTATAATTTTTCTTCTTGGATGATGATAATGAAAATAAAGAAGGTAATTGACCAAGATTATAATCAATGACCTTATGATAGTAGTAGGTGCCTTCTTCGCTTAGTTTTATTGTTAGAATCCTGTGGTTCTAGATTTATAAATATTTTATGACCGGTAAAGATACCTTATAAAATCTATATAGTCTTAACATATCAAAGTATTATAGACAAATAGTTATTGATGTTTTACTACTAGGTAAGTCAGTCGGCTGTTATAAGATTATCCAATCTTAGGAGTAATCTAGGAATGATTTTTCTAAGCAAGGTTTTGCTCAAGATTTCAGCATTTGAAACTTCAAAATTTGAAGAAAAAAACTCTAAGAGTGAAATTTTAAATTTGTTTTTAGAAAACCATGCAAGCCTTAATAGGTTTAGGGAGTGCATTATAGTTTAGTTTGAATGACATATTTAACAAATCTCATTAGGTCTATACATTTTTATTTGTTGAAAATTTTTATTTTTGTCATCAAAGAGTGCATTATCATTGATATTTTTTATACATTTACACTGACCATAACTCAAGTCATATTTAACTAATCATAATGAAACTTTTACACAATTTTGGGTTTCAGAACCTCACTGTCAACTTTAATTTCAGAAATTTTTGGGAAGTTTTTATTAGTGCGAATAATGTGACTGAATGAGTATCACAATAATTAGAAATCACATTTTTAAATCTGACACATACATTTCTGCACAGCTTTTCCTGTAATTGAAATGATTATTCTCACATTTTGGTCTTTGAAATATAGAAATTGCAATATTAAATGCACACAATACTTTCTTAATTTTCATTATCTTAAATGGTTTTTACAGACTGTGAGTTAGCAGTGAAGAATGTCCTTTTTTCACAATTTTTAGATTACTGTAAATTCAGAAATGATTGTGTACACTTATTATTGTGATTGTTGAACAAGATTAATTATTGTGATTGTTGAACAAGATTAATTATTGTGATTGTTGAACAAGATTAATTATTGTGATTGTTGAACAAGATTAATTATTGTGATTGTTGAACAAGATTAATTATTCTCATTGTTGAACAAGATTAATTATTCTCATTGTTGAACAAGATTAATTATTCTCATTGTTGAACAAGATTAATTATTCCCATTTCATGAAATGTTTCATACAAATGATGCTTTCAAAATCTAAACTGCAAAACCTAGCCCTTCACAAATTGATAAAATCATCGCACTTAATTCTGAATTTACAATAATTCTTACGATTTTTAATAATTAACTCTGCAGTATTATAATTATTGGACATTGTTCAAAAGAAATAATCTTTTTGTTACCTTTACACTATTTAACTCGAGTTTTTTTTTCCGTATTTAACCTGAAGAAAGAATTTTGTCATTTCTATGCCATTGTCTTAAGGCACTAATGGCATAACTGTTGATTTAATAGAATGTAAAGGAGCTGCAATGAAATTACTGGCCATTACAAACATGATACATGCTACAATAATCCTCATGAAGAGGATACATATAATAAACCAGGAGTGGTGACTTGATTACCAGTGAGACCGCTTTCATTTTGGAAAAAGGACCTTACTGTGCAAATTGCTGCTTAATTCCTTGATTTGAAAAAAGTTTAGATAGCAATTACAGTGTTGAAGTGCATCGATTGAATTGACCAAATTGACTTTCTGACCTTTCTGTAATTATTAAAAGGGAGTAAAAAATACTTATAGTTAATTGGTCATGATGGTTAACATGGTGCTATCACAAGGCCTGAACTCATTAAATGCACTCTTGTGAATTAATAATTTATATTTTTCCAACATTTTAATTTTTTTTAGAATTTGTTCCGTGAACATGGATGCTTGTCCAGACTGAGTAATTTGCTCTATCAACAAAGAATGTCAAGGTCAGCCAACCCTAAATTGGTGACATCAGTAGCCAATGCAATAACAAACTTGTCGTCCAACGAAGAAAATCATAAGAAATTAGAGGTATAAGTACTGCATATTCATCATACTGGGGATTCATATATTTTCATGGGTATTATTTTTTTTGGATTGAAGAAAAACAGTGTTCTCATAGATTCATTCTTAATTTCATGGCTTTTCATACAAATCTGTAGAAAGTATTTTGTTAAACACTTTAAGTAATAAGTTCACGAAGGGTTAAAATTGGCCCTAAGATTTTTATTTTTTCTTAATCAGGCCAAAATACTACAAAATTCATATAGAAACAGTTGTGATATAACTATCAATACAAAATAACTTCTTTGAAAAATGATGAAGAAATTATCCCTCAAGTATACCTTATTTGTGTTGTAGCGTCAGTTTGGGTCAAATTTTCAATAGTTCTTAGCATTTTTTAACAAAATTTACTTTGGCCGCCACCCCTGATCCAGAAAGTTTTTGTGTCTAGGGACATTATTAACAACTTTTGGCTGCAGAACGTTTTGGATCCTATGATGCGGCCAAGGGTTTCCTCAAGATATTATGTTTTTGACAATGTACCCAAAATGCGCTGACTTTGAAGCCTAGAATGTACTCTAATGAAGAGATTTGTTTGACCTAGTAGTTAGGCTTTTGAAATAGATCCAATTAAGAACCAAATTATGGCCATTTTGAAATTTGATGATAAAGTTGAAATTCAAGGCCATGCTCGGCCTAAAGTGAACCTTGTCCTTTATGATTTACTAGTACATTTAAAATCAATGAAAATATGTATGCCATGATTAAATATGAATCTACAGGACATAATTGTCACAGTGAGTTAAACAATTGCCTTTGACCTTGTTTATCATACCACGTCTTCTTATTTTTTTATTTACATGAAGGTCCTTCAGATGTGGTGTTTACTACTGGTAGACTGTGTTCATCAATTTTTTTTCTTGCTGACTGCTGAACATAGCAAATCTGATATTTTCATCCATTTATTTTTTCAATCATTTTATTCTTTATAAAAAAAAAATGCTTTGGAATACTTTGAAAAAATACCATAGAATGTGATACAGTGATAGAGGTATTTAATAGATGAGAATTTTTATCTCATGATTTGAAAATATAGTTGTTCTAACTCCATTAGATTAGTTCAATAGAGAAAACAATGACATGTGCACTGAATGCAATACAATTTGTTATGCTTAAACATTGATATGACTAAATTTACCAATTTAATGATTTTAGGACTGTGTATCTACCCTTGTAGATTTAACATTGGAGGATTAGACCGGAGAGAGTGTATGTCTATCATCTCTTACTTACAAAAGGTTATGACTAATCTGTATTTAATGATTTTAGGACTGTGTATCCACCCTTGTAGATTTAACATTGGAGGATTAGACCGGAGAGAGTGTATGTCTATCATCTCTTATTTACAAAAGGTTATGACTAATCTGTATTTAATGATTTTAGGACTGTGTATCCACCCTTGTAGATTTAACATTGGAGGATGAGACTGGAGAGAGTGTATGTCTATCATCTCTTATTTACAAAAGGTTATGACTAATCTGTATTTAATGATTTTAGGACTGTGTATCCACCCTTGTAGATTTAACATTGGAGGATGAGACTGGAGAGAGTGTATGTCTATCATCTCTTATTTACAAAAGGTTAGGACTAATCTGTATTTAATGATTTTAGGACTGTGTATCCACCCTTATAGATTTAACATTGGAGGATGAGACTGGAGAGAGTGTATGTCTTTCATCTCTTATTTACAAAAGGTTATGACTAATCTGTATTTAATGATTTTAGGATTGTGTATCCACCCTTATAGATTTAACATTGGAGGATGAGACTGGAGAGAGTGTATGTCTATCATCTCTTATTTACAAAAGGTTATGACTAATCTGTATTTAATGATTTTAGGACTGTGTATCCACCCTTGTAGATTTAACATTGGAGGATGAGACTGGAGAGAGTGTATGTCTATCATCTCTTATTTACAAAAGGTTATGACTAATCTGTATTTAATGATTTTAGGACTGTGTATCCACCCTTGTAGATTTAACATTGGAGGATGAGACTGGAGAGAGTGTATGTCTATCATCTCTTATTTACAAAAGGTTATGACTAATCTGTATTTAATGATTTTAGGACTGTGTATCCACCCTTATAGATTTAACATTGGAGGATGAGACTGGAGAGAGTGTATGTCTATCATCTCTTAAAGCTTTAACCAACCTATCCATCACCAGTCAACATCATGGTCATTACACAAGAGTCGTACAGAGATTGTATGATTTAGTGGACACTGGAGCTGCCAGCATTAAACTCCAAGCAGCAAAAGTTTTAGTAAATCTGTCTTGTAATCCAGAACTAGTCCCACATATGTTAGCTGCAAAGGTAAATCTGTGTTGTAATCTGAATAAGTCCCACATAATATATGTTAGCTGCAAATGTTAATCTGTCTTGTAATCCAGAACTAATTTAAAAGTTAGATGAAAAGGTAAATCTGTCTTGTAATCAAGAACTAGTCCCACATATGTTAGCTGCAAAGGTAAATCTGTCTTGTAATCCAGAACTAGTCCCACATATGTTAGCTGCAAAGGTAAATCTGTCTTGTAATCCAGAACTAGTCCCACATATGTTAGCTGCAAAGGTAAATCTGTCTTGTAATCCAGAACTAGTCCCACATATGTTAGCTGCAAAGGTAAATCTGTGTTGTAATCTGAATAAGTCCCACATAATATATGTTAGCTGCAAATGTTAATCTGTCTTGTAATCCAGAACTAATTTAAAAGTTAGATGAAAAGGTAAATCTGTCTTGTAATCCAGAACTAGTCCCACATATGTTAGCTGCAAAAGTAAATCTGTCTTGTAATCCAGAACTAGTCCCACATATGTTAGCTGCAAAGGTAAATCTGTCTTGTAATCCAGAACTAGTCCCACATATGTTAGCTGCTAAGGTAAATCTGTCTTGTAATCCAGAATTAGTCCTATATATATGTAAACTGCAAAATAGGAGATTACAATGTTTAGTAAAATCCATCTAATATATATAAAAATAAGCATAATTATATAGATTTAGTATGATTACCAATGAGATGAACTACCCAACAAGCATTCAAATGACATGGATGTAGGCAACTATAGATCATTGTAGGACATTCAACAAAAAGAAAAACCAGTTTGTTTATACACCATCCCATACAAACTTGAACTTAATTTTATACCTGTCAGTGACAGATGTAGGATTAATTGTCTGTTTCATATAAAAATGAGAAGATGTGGTATGATTGCCAATGAAACAACTATTCACCAGAGTTCAAATGAAGTGGATATAAGCAATTATAGGCCACTGCATGGCCTTCAATAATGAGAAAAACCCATACTATATAGTTAGCTATAAAAGGCCCTGTCATGAAAAATGTGAAACAATTCAATTGAGAAATCTAAAGCCTAATTTATAACAAAACATTTTATGAAAAACAAATGATTATAATGAACCAACGACAACCACTGAACTAAAAGCTCCTGACTTGGGACAGGCACATAAAGAATGTAACTGGTTTAACATGTTCGTGAGCGCTCAACCCTCATATTGATCCCCTAACCTGGGACAGTGGTGTAACAGCACAAGAACAAACTGTAAAAATTAGTTGCGATTTGCTTAACTCAAACAATCGGTACAAGGAAAAAACAACTAACATAAAAACAAAATACACAAAGCACCTATATAAGAGTACTTGCAGTTGCTGAAAGCTAGTTCAAAGCCAACTAATAAATAAATCATGTTCTCCTAGACTAAACCATGTTAGTCCATCTGAGCAAGTCTCTATAGAAATGCAAGGTCTTGAAGACATTTTTAAACAATGTTTGATTCTATTATAAAATTAAAACATTGAATATTACATGTAGAAGGACTTGATACTTAGACTTCTTTTTTTTAACAATTTGAACATTTTCCAACGGTTATTCACCTTTACCACATTACGGATGAAATTTGAAGCAGTACCTCTGCAGTACAAAGCAAATTGAAATGAATCAGAATAAATAGTAAAGTATTGTCCATTGAAAAAATTATATAATTACATCCAGCCATAGAACATAAAAAAAAAAAGACAAATATTTTCTATTTAAAACTTTATTATACCCCATTATAATAGTGTACAGCAGAATCATCTTGTCAGTCCATTCTTTGGTTGACTCATTTGTCAAAAATTTATTTTCATCACACTTTTCTCTGATGCTACTGAAGAGAATGACTTCATATTTGGTCAGCACCTTGATATTGATGTGTTTTATGAATACTTTTTGGATCTGTCAGACTTCCTTTTTCAGTATGTTGCATGAACTCAATATTTTGTTCACATTTTCCCCCCTTAGAAGGACAATCAATTAACATTATACAAACTGTTATTTTTTATTTTCACTTTCACTTTCACTTTCATCATATTGCTATATAACCATTTTTGCCTTTAACATCTGGTAACATGATACATATCAAACGTTAAGATGAATCTGCTTATTTCAGGCTCCAGTTTGTTTGATCGAACTGCTTAAGCAAGGAACTGAAGAAGAGTTAATGTTACGATGGACAACTCTTCTCGCCAACATTTTGACAACGGCCAAAGAACAAAAACTAACTTCTGCATCATTGCCAGCAGACGACAAAGCACCAAGTCCAGAGACAATGTACACTGCTTTGTATGGTGTTAGTTCAGGACAACTCAAATCTAAAGTTTATTTGTTGAGTCGACATAAAAATGAAAACATCAGCCATCAAGCTTCTAAAATTTATCAAGTTATCACTAAATAAGGAATGTGTTGATTGAACTTGACTTGAGCTGTGTCAGTGAATGTAAAAAGAATGAATCATCATGTGTCTTGTTGCCATGAAAATTTGTTGTATGAACTTTTGTTGCATAATTTTTAACAAATCTCAATGTTGCAGTCTTATAAGGCTGTTCCATCATTTAAAGATGCATTCAGGGAGAAGGGCTTTTAAAACAAGAAACAGGAACAATATAGATTTTAAAAATGTTTATATGATTTTTTAAATATTCTTTAAGAAAATATAACTGCCCACTAAATAATTATTTTAAGTGCAGCCTGACCCTGCATACAATCGTTTCTGTAAATCTTAAAGAAACTATGAAAATGTGCTACAAGATTGTTATTTAGTGATAACGTTATTGAACTTTTTCAACAAAGAACCCATGATATATCATAAATTGTTCAGCCTGGAAAGTGAAAGCTAAATAGAACAGATAAAGACTTGGAAAATATCACACATACATGTAGCAATGATAATACCAAAGGAGACTGTTCATCATTATAATCATTGAATAAGATGGTCTTCAAATATTAGATCTGATACAAATAGCTTTGACCGAAGAAGTAGAGTTTTTAATAACAAATTTGAACATTATTAGCGTTTTTCAACTGATAAAAAAACATATAAACATGAATTGTTTTTGTGATTTTGTCACAAATTATGTTATGTAATCTTTGAATTAGTAAAATTACAAATGGTGTGCATTTTTTGTGTAAGCATTCAAATCAACCTTTTACATTCATAGGTCAACAAAACATTCAATACAAAGATAAACATCACACATAACTTTTGAGAAGTTAATGCTTAAGAGAACACTTTCCCTATTACATGTAGACTTAATTTGTCTCTGATTACTCTTTATGTCCAAAGGGCTTTTTTTTCTGGTTAGGGCAGTTGAACATCTGACCAAATTCCATTTAGAATACATGGAATTTGTGCACTCAAATTTGTTGCAGCAAGTTTCCATCTCATATTGTAATAGGTGCATAGTCAAGCATATAAACCTTATAGTTTTTGTTTTTCTCCATGAACATTTACTTTTCATTTCAAACAACTTTTCACTTGACTTGTTATTTTGTTCCCTTGGCATAAAATTGTATGAGTAAATTTATGCAAATAACCTGGTTGACCCACATATATTAACAAGATTTGTCTCATCTTCCATATTTCTGTAAAATGCATATTAGATAATAGTGCCGGCTAACCTATTTGCATAAATTAGCTACCCTGATTCTATGGCTGGGAAACCAAAGAAAATAACACCAGATGCCAATATCTGAGCTAAAGCAAGATATGTTGACAATAAATGAAGTGTTTCATTGCAGTAGTTGGTGAAAAGGGTAAATATTCATTGAGAGTAATGAATAGGAAACAAATGATTTATGGTTTATTCTTTTACAATGAGTTATGATTTTAAGTCAGAAACTTGACACCCCAATGTTGGGTCTGCTGTTTGAATGTTTTCTGCTTGAACTGTACTCTGAAATTTGATAACCTGTACCAATGGCTAAATCAGGCTCTAAGAAATCAGAGCAACTTTGAACTAACATCATTATCTAGCAATTACTTTAAAAAGTTTGAAATTCTAAGAACTATGTGACTTTGATTATGTTAAATGGCAATTGTTTTGAGTAATATTAAAATTCTCTCCTTCATATCTAAAAGCTTATATTTTTATGAAATATTTACACGTGTGCATAAGCTCATTAGTTTTAATTGTCTTTTTGTAATTTATAGTGCCGAATAAGGCTACTTGTGTCTTTTGTCCTTTCAGATAAGTTTTGAATCAGCTAAGCTGACCTCATTGCTGTATGAATTTCTTCACATTTGTCCATTTCATTACTCTATGGGTACAGCCGACCTCATTGCTGTATGAATTTCTTCACATTGTCCATTTCTTTACTCTGTGTGTACTGCTAACCTTATGAAGATATTATCGAATCAAGTTTTCCAAGCTTTGTTACAATTAGGTTTATAAGAAATGGAATGTTAAGATTCACACATATATATTTATGCAGATTCAGAATTTTCACACATTGTCTGAATGTATTTGGTGAAGTCATATGATAATAACTTGATGTATAACTTAATTATCTCAAAGGCTAATTGTGTCTTTTGTCCTTTCAGATAAGTATTAAATCAGCTAAGCTCACCTCATTGCTGTATGAATTTCTTCACATTTGTGTCAAATTGAAATCAGGCAAAATTTATATCAGTATAACTGATAACTATATTCATACAAGAAATTATTTATGTCTAGGATTATCCTATTTTTTTCAAAATAAAAATGTTGTGTAAAGGGCAAGTCCCTTACAAGGTGATTATTTCTTCATTTTATTATAATTGAATTACTGTAGAAAATCAAGGTTGCTGTAAAAAGGAAAAAATATAAACATACGAAGAATTGCAAAGATTATAGAAGAAATATAGATATGTTAGACCATTTTTCATATATTTTTTTTTGTTTTTTAGTTGTAATCTGGTTTTAGTTACTGTGGATTCATTATTATTCATTGGATACTAATTTTCGTGGATTTCGTTGGTATAGGTGAACCATTATGTGCTCAACGAATCACAACTTTTCTATAAGGTTGTATGCAGACTTTGGCAAAACCGCATAATCAAATATCCACAAAAATGCAAGTTTTCCTCAATACATGAAAATTGGTATCCACGAAAATAAATGAATCCACAGTACTTTTTATCTTCTTTTAAGGGATTTAAAGTTAATTCTGAACAATTTTAATAATTATTGTTCAAATTTGTGTTGTAAATTTTTAAGATTCAACTTTAATCATCAGCAGATTTCTTGTACTGTAATATATTTGGTAATTCCTTTTTTATGTGATAGATATTCTAGTCCAAAATAACCAGGAAAGATAACATGGAAACAAAAAGACTTAAAAAATTATTCTTATTAAGGGAGCAACCATTTAACCCCCCCCCCCCCCCCCCCCGGAAGTTAAATGGTTGTTCCCTAAATATCTGTATATGTTTTGCCTTGCCTGCGTATTCTTTGCATAGGGGTGCTTATCATTCTATTAATTCTTTGTATACAGCTTCATTATTAAGAAGGTTTAAGAGCTGCATAATCAATATCTGGTAGACAGATGACATAGGATTTGAGGTTTGCATATGGCAAATTACCACTTAAATAATGAACATTTTTTAATCATGACTTTTTGCCAATTTTATGCTAAATAGGACAACTTTATATGGTAAATATATTTATTGCAAGGTACACATCTGTCAAATAGGGTTTCATGGTTCAGTGATCAAATTCAAAGTTAAGTTTTCTGTTTCTCAGAGACTTTTAGTAATTAACGTCTCCGAGGAGACGTTATTAAGAATTGAACGATGGACAGTCAGTGCGTGAATGCCTCTTACTACCTGATTGGAAGATATTACGAGACGTGAATAATCAAAGTTTGTTGATTGGTTAGGACAATCCAAACCTAGTAAATGTCTTTCAATCCCGTAGAGTATGGGATTTGTCCTCTCTATTTTAGCAATTAGATTTTGCCTGGTCATTAATCATGCATATTCATGAGATTGGTACACAGGTAACTTTTATCTATAAATAGCCGAATCTTCTGGAGTTTTGTAAACACACACAACGTTAAATGATATACTACTTCATAACGTGTGACCTCACATGAGTGGTACAATTTGTTGATTGATATGCAAGACTATTCTGAATGAATTAATCTACAAAGCGAGAACACTTTCCATTTTCATCAGCTAAGAGACGGCAAGCCTTTTTTTGAAAAGCTATTACTTGTAGGTCAACTATTATCAATGTAAAGAAAAATTGTACAGTATACATGTCCTTCTGACATGGTTCACCTGACCTCATGTTCATGGTTCATAGGTCAGTGTAAGTTTTGTAGATTAGGTTCTTTTCTCATATACTATAAGTAATAGGTCAACTTTATTGGGTGTAGAGAATGAATGTTAGGTGTACATGTCCTTCTGACAGGGTTCTTATGACCTTGACCTTATTTTCATTTATCATTGATAATGTTAATTTCCTATTATAAATGTAATTTTAGAAAGATCTTATTCTTAAAAGACTTAACATAAAATTCAATCATAATCAGTACGGCAAGCGAGATACATCAAGGTGATCACTTGTATCAATATTTTTACTGATTGAATGCATATGTTTTACAAAACTGACTGATCCGATTTCATAACATTTTAACTGTAGAATGCTAACACTATAAATGTTTTGATTGTCTTGAAGTTTAATACATTATCAACAATATTTATATAGTTTCCATTCATTCCATGCATGATCATTTCAATACATGAAATATATTATGTTGTTGTTATTTTCTTTTTTTAATTAAAATGATAATGTGAACCATAGTTTATTTTAATGTAATAAAGGACCATTGTGAGCTTTTGCCATCACTTGTTGTCTGTTAACTTTTACAAAAATATTTTCCTCTGAACCTTTTTGGCCAAATTAAACCAAATCATCCTTGAGGTATATAGTTTTAAAAATGAGTTCAGTGAATCTGCAGGCTTGTGAACCAAGGCTAACAATAGTGGTTAAATGCAAGTACTGTCTATTATTTGGAAAACCTTTATAGATAAAGTCTATTGTGGCAAAAATGTTCAGAATGTCAAGGTCAACATCCTGTCTATTTCAACCAAAAATTGCCAGACAACTCATATAAGGAGTTGTTGCTCTCAAATGCTGAGTTACAAATTTCATATTGTTTTTGCATTTTATCTTGAAAACCTGATGAAAGTTTATTCAGTCTTTATACTTTTATTGGTGGATAAAACATGTATGGACAAATATGAAAAGGCTACAATGGTTTTATTATTAGATTATGTTATTCAAAAGCTGTGACTTACCTTTTAATTATGATCATTCAACATATATTTTGCTGTTACCGTATTTATCCGTGTATAGTACCCAGTTGTGTATAATACGAACCCTTTGATATTAATTTCATATAAATCTGGCAAGAATTGTACATGTGAAAGCACTTACAATGCCATATAAATATAAAAAGATGTGGCATGATTGCCAATTGAACAAAATAACTTAGAAGTTAATACTATAGGTTACCATACAGCCTTAAAAATGAGCAAAACCCATAAGCAAAGTAAGGTATAAAAGGCCCCGAAATGAAAAATGTAAAACAAAATTGGAATGAGAAACTAAAGATCTGATTTATGTACAAAACAATAAACGAAAAACAAATATATACAACAACAAACGACAACCATTGAATTACAATTCCTGACTTGGGACTGAACTTACAGAATCTTGCAGGGTTTATCATGTTTGTAGGCGCTAAATTTTCCCAATAACCTGGGACAGTGGTGAAATAATACAACATAAGAACAAACTATTAAAATTATTTGGAAAGGGCTAATATAATTTACATTTCCAAGTGGCATTACTCTTAAAATAACTTATCTGTACTGATTTTTGATAATGATCAAGACATTGTTGATATAAACCTTTGATATCAATATTATAATAAAATGCTCCGCTGGGCGCAGTTTGATATGACTGCAGAGGTCGAACCCTGAACAGTTGGGGCAAGTATGGACACAACATTCAAGCTTGATACAGCACTGAATATGGATTGTGATTAAATATTTGACACCACATAGGTTTCTGACACAGAATGAATGTGGTCCAAGAACTTAAAAAAATTTTAATTTACCTATCCAAACCATATCATTATTATTTGCTTTTATATATAAATCAGATATAACCAATTTAAAATGGAAAATTTTAAAGAAAAAAAAAAGGAAAAAAATATCCCCCCCAATTTTTTGAACCCCCTTATGATTCATCACCCCAAACTCAATCCCAGCCTTCCCTTTGTGGTATGGTACCTTGCAGTACAATTTCAGAGAGATCCATACACTTGAACACAAGTTATTGTCTAGAAACTAGAAAAATGCTTTTTTTTGGCCCCAAATTCCTAAACGTTTAAGGCAATTACCCCCAAACTCAAACCCAGCTTTCCCTTTGTGACATGGAACCTTGTAGTACAATTTCATAAAGATCCATACACTTAAACACAAGTTATTGTCCTGAAACTAGAAAAATGCTTGTTTTTTGCCCCTTTTTGGCCCCTAATTCCTAAAATTTTGGGGCAATTACCCCCAAAATCAATCCCAGCCTTCCTTTGTGGTATGGTACCTTGCAATACAATTTCAGAGAGATCCATACACTTGAACACAAGTTATTGTCTGGAAACTAGAAAAATGCTTATTTTTGGCCCCTTATTCCTAAACATTTTGGGCAATTACCCCCAAACTCAATTCCAGCTTTTCCTTTGTGTAGTACAATTTCAGAAAGATCCATACACTAACACACAAGTTATTGTCATGAAACTAGAAAAATGCTTGTTTTTTGCCCGTTTTTTGGCCCCTAATTCCTAAAATTTTGAGGCAATGACCCCCAAAATCAATCCCAGCATTCCCTTTGTGATATGGAACCTTGTGGTACAATGTCAGAGAGATCCATACACTAACACACAGTTATGTCTGGAAGTTACAAAAATGCCTATTTTTGGCCCCTTTTTGGCCCATAATTCCTTAACTGTTGGTACCATAACCCCCAAAATCAATCCCAACCTTTCTTTTGTGGTATTGAACCTTATGGTAAAATTTCATAGAGATCCATTCACTTAAACTAAAGTTAGAGTGCGAAAACCAATGTGTCTTCGGACAACGACGACGACGCCAACATCATACCAATATACGACCGCAAAATTTTTTTGCGGTCGTATAAAAATCTGGTAAGAATTGTATACATGAGAGCACTCAATTGAATTGTTTACGTCAGAGTGCCAACTAGAATGGATGGACACACAGACGGACGCCAAGTACTTCTATGTCCCCCACAATACTTTGTGTGGGGGTCAATAATAACTTTTAATTTTTGATATTTCCACTGTTTCAGCATGTACTATTGTTTTACTATCCAAGTGCTCTTTTTGTACATGTGAGCGGGTATGTAAATATTTCCAGAGAAATCCTTCACCATCAGTGAAATTGTTTTGTCAATCAGTTTTATGGATAATTTTTTTTATCCTTACATAGTATATTTTTATGTTCTGGTTTATATTTTAAATTGTTAAAGAAAATTTCTGCAGATATTTTCAGGCTTGTTTAAGACATTTCCGTACCAGATGGGATCCATTAGATTAGTAGATCCCGATTGAGAAAATATAAAACCAAACTTTTCGATGTCTGAGGGTTTTAGGTATTCCTAATTGATGGGTAAATTCTCTCTGTGACTCTCTATCGTAGGTTTTTTTTGATTTTCTCTACCAGGATGAGCAAATTAGGCCAGTGCGTTTGTGTTCATGTTTTATTGTCCCAAACTCAATGCGTTGCGGGGGACAGTGTCTGTCCAGTCTTGTTAGCGCTCTCACATGTACAATTCTTGCCAGATTTTTATGAAACTTATATCAGCAATGTCTTGGATGAGTTCGAAAAATCAGTGTCGATCAATATTTTTTTAAAGAGTTATGCCCCTTGGAAACACTAATTATATGGAAAATTGCATGGTTAGTGTTCTCATGTGTACAATTCTTTCCAGATTTTTATGCCCCACCTAGTAGAGGGTATTATGTTTTTCGGTCTGTGCGTCAGTTCGTTCGTTCGTCCTTCCGTCTGTCCTGCTTCAGGTTAAAGTTTCTGGTCAAGGTAGTTTTTGATGGAAGTTGAAGTCTAATCAACTTGAACCTTAGTACACATGTTCCCTATGATATGATCTTTCTAATTTTAATGCCAAATTAGAGTTTTGACCCCAATTTCACGGTCCACTGAACATAGAAAATGATAGTGCGAGTAGGGCATCTGTGCACTATGGACACATTCTTGTTATGAATCTGATATTGTAGGTTTATATCAGTGATGTATCTGACAAGTTCAAAAATCAGTCCTAATCAATTATTTTCAAAAGAGTTATGCCCCTGAAAAATATTAATTGTATGGAAATTTGCATTGTAAGCGCTCTCACATGTACAATTTTTGCCAGATTTTTTATCAAATTAATATGAAAGGTTAATGTCAGCAATCTCACGGACAATTTCGAAAATAATTGCCAATCAAATGTTTTTAATGAGTTATGCCCCTTGGAAATATTAAATATATCAGAAATTGCTCTTAATTCTTTAACTCTCTAAGATAATTTTAAAAAGTTTTAAAATACAAAAAAAATTTTTTAGTTATTGACCTTGAGAAAATAAAATATGTGCAACGCAGGGGACATTGGAACTCTGTTCTTTTATTGCATTGTATATTCATGTCATGGGGAAGGTTATTAGCTTCCAAAATGTAAGAACTGTCACAGCTTGGCTGACGAACTTGGTAGGCAAATGCTCACATTATCGTGTGCCGATAGTGTGCTGAATGTCCTCTTTACACCATATCTCATGGTGGTGCTAATTATACAGATCATACATACATCAACCTCCAAACAAATAGCTATTTATTTCCCTACTCCATGTATACCTTACAACAAAATTATTTTTATTTACCTGTGTACATTATTTTATTTGGCGGCATTTTGTCCTAGGTTATGGTTGTCTTTTTGATATTGTTTTAAATCTAACCCCCTTGTTTTATTAATTTTGTATTTACATTTTGTCATAGATCAAATTTATTTTCGTTCAGTGTATGTTCACTTGTTTTTGTTAATAGGTCTTTTGATTGAGTTAAGCCATTTCAATTGATATTTTATAGTGTGTCTTTCTATGTTGTGATGTTACACTATTGTTTCAGGTAGGGTGAAGGTTGCGCCTATTAAAACGTTTAAACCCAGTGCATTTGTTTGCACCAGTCCTAAGTCAGGAACCTGATGTTCAGTGGTTGTCGTTTGTTGATGTGGTTCATAAGTGTTTCTCGTTTCTCGTTTTTGTCGAGCCTGCGACTTTTGTCGCAGAAAGCTAGACATAGGGATAGTGATCCGGCGGCGGCGGCGTTAGCTAACTTCTTAAAAGCTTTATATTTTAGAAGGTGGAAGACCTGGATGCTTCATACTTTGTATATGGATGCCTCATGTTACGAAGTTTCCGTCAGTCACATGTCCAATGTCCTTGACCTCATTTTCATGGTTCAGTGACTACTTGAAAAAAAAGTTAAGATTTTTTGTAATGTTAAATTCTCTCTTATTATAAGTAATAGGATAACTATACTTGTGCGTACCTTGCAAGGTCCTCATGCCTGTCAGACAGTTTTCACTTGACCTCGACCTCATTTCATGGATCAGTGAACAAGGTTAAGTTTTGGTGGTCAAGTCCATATCTCAGATACTATAAGCAACAGGTCTAGTATATTCGGTGTATGGAAGGACTGTAAGGTGTACATGTCCAACTGGCAGGTGTCATCTGACCTTGACCTCATTTTCATGGTTCAGTGGTTAT